TGTAGTACAATGATATAGGAAGTTACTAGAATGCCCCTGATTAGTGATGGGACACCCAGACAACTTAAAACATTAAACAGGATTAGGCCCATTAACAAAAGCCCAGTACAGGACAACTTAAACTTAAGTATAGGCTAATAAGAACTCTTATCAGCCGAATACTCATACATACAAAGACTTCAATCCAACACATCAGAGAGGATGGAAACTCAACACAGGAGGCATAGTTGTCGAGGTGACACCTAGGTGATGCCTAGGTGAGAAGGCGTTCTTGGAGGGTTGCCTCGCCCAAATGCCTACATATTTATATCTACGACACCACACAATATTTATATTTTTATTCTATGTTATTAATAGTAGTACAATAGATATTATTAGACTAAATTATTCATATTGTGGGTTTATAGTATTAATATTGTGATTCTTATACTAGTTTCTTTTTGTTATTTTCTTATTTGTTTGGGTTCAGTCGAGACACAAGTCAGTGGCATAGTCTTGAACCCTTTAGGACTTTAAAACCTGAATTGACAAGTAAAAAATAACTTGAAGATTTTATCCAATTGAGACAAGAAACCTGTATGTTTCTTTCCTTTCTTATTTTTCTACTCATAAATATGTTGACATTCTATCTATTGATATGGGGTTTGTACTTATTTTAGGAGAAGCATGGTGATTATCAGTTAAAGATCACTACTAATTACTATGAAACCTAGGGATCTAACCTAGGATTTATATATTTTTTATTTTAAAAAACTCATCGCTTAGGCAACAAGGCGCTCCCCTATCACCTAGCTTTGCCTAGGTGCCTTGAAAACTATGACTGGAGGTAGAATTGCTTTTAAAAACTTATACTCAAGCAGTAAAGAACTCAAGTGGAGAAGATGTCATCCCTTCTTGAATGGATGGAATCTTTTCTCCTTTTAGTCCTGGATCTACGTACAAAAATTTGAGAATCAAATTTTTATGGTTTTTCCTGGGTCACCAAAAGTAAATGATTTATTTACTATTTTTCCTCCCTTTTTTCTTTGGGGGGGATGTTTAATTGTTTTCAATTCCCTTCAGCATCTAGACATATAGAACTGTAGTTTGTATCAGAATTGTTTTGAACTAAAACGAATTGGAAGATTAGAAAACCTTCTTATCTAGTTATTCTTGTTTGGGGACAGGTCTTTTGGAGATTTGTGATCTTATGCATCCAGTGTACTAACTAGATGGTAGATTGGCAGTAACTTCTTGAGGAGGGGGGGGGGGGAGCAATTTTTTTGTGGAGGTCCATTTTGCATTAATAGTTGAAGATGAGAATTGAACAACCAATTGCCCATCTCTGAAGATCAATCTTGCATAATCTCAAAGTGAATTAACAAAAGGAATACACAAACATGAACATACCTTCCCAGCACTTGCTTCTTTCCCTGTTTCTGGAAATGTTTCTCCCTGCCAAAAATATAACATCAAAGCTAATTCAAGCTCAAGCATTCAAATAGCATACACAACAAAGTATTCCAATATATCTTGTCAATAGTGATAACATCAAAGTAGATCCCTGTTAGTTTAAGGGCACACAATAAAAGAAACACCTGTAGATGCCAGATCAAAATGTGGGCAAATATATCACTTCTTTGTGCTGCTCCAAGTAAATATCCTTCTACCAATTTCTGCATGAAAAAATAGAATCTTAGATGAATTAAATCAAATATAAAAAATAAGGAATTCATAGCTGCAACAGTACAATGCCCATAGAAAATGGTCACAGTAATAACACCAATGTGCATCACATGGATAACTCACCCCTTCATCATATCGCAGAGCCTGTACCAATTGTGGCATGAAAAAGGTAACTCGTTCAGGAGGATAGGACTCCAAAACTCTAAGAACATATGCCATGACACGTGGATGACCCTTATATGCAGGAGTAAGAAACTCAAGGGCCTGTGTAATTGAACAAGCAGCCCAATGTGGCAATTGTTGCAAAAGCACTGAATTCTCTTCAACAGCCTTTGGAGTGACAAAAAATGGTAATGCTGCAGGTATGCAGCGAATATCAAATATATGCAACTGCACCAAAAAACAGACCGACATAACTTATAATCAAAAGAATTTGAGAAAAGGGAAAGAAAAGAATGGCCAACAGAAATAATAAATAGTTAAGAAACACCGCCATCTTCAATATGCTGACGAAAGACCTTGAAGCCCACCATGGAGCATGGTTTGCAATACATTTCCTCATTACATTGGGGTGATATGAAATATTTCAAGTATATATTTTTCCTTCATATCACTCATATATCAAGGATATTTGGAATGTTATTGATAAATTAAACATCTGAAATTTAAAATTTTAGAATATTTAATTTTTTGATAATTTGTTAAAATCATTGAAAATTGTTGGGAATCTTTTCCTAAAAGAACACATGGACATTCTTTGATTGATAACAGGCTTTCCATTATGAATGTGGTTCACTAAAGAGCCATTTGATAATGGCTGAAATGGCTGAACTGAAAAACTAATTATTTTGTCTTTTAATGAATAAGTTTTTCAAGGAAGTTGTGGGCTCCTTAATGGCTGAAGCTGAAGCTGGGTAGAATACTGTAGACCTGAATATTTTATTATTTAATTATTTTATCCATTAAAAGATAAACTGATAAAGCAATAAGTCATTCAGTTCAGCAACTTCATCTGTTATCAAGCGGCCCCTAAGTCACTATCATTCAAAAAACGGGGCACACAACTGGAAAAGCGATGACAGTCGGGCACTTGACTAAAAGGGATTTCCGAGAGATGAGTAAGGCTGATCTTGCCATAGCGAAAAAGGTTGGAGAGGTTGCTCTTGAAGGGATTTCTGAGAGGTGCAAATGTAAAACACATCCTTAGGAGAAAGTGGAGGAGGATGAACAAGGGTGTTGTAGACAACTCCATATGTCTGAGAGAAACCCTTGGCCACCAACCTTGCCTTATATCTTTCCACTGAGCCATCAACATGATGCTCAACTGCAAACGTTCACTTGCATCCCATAGGTTTTATTCCCTTAGAAAGGTCCACCAAATTGCACGAGCAATTCTTATGAAGAGTATTATCAAGTTCCTCTAGAATTGCATTTTTCCACTTAGGGGAATTCAAGGCCTCTACAACAGACTTAGGAATAAAAACACTACAAATAGCAGATAAAAAAAAGAATGATAAGAAGGAGATAAGTTGTTATAAGTGGTAAAGTTGTTAATCTGAGAGAAGGAGAAAAGATAGGAAGAAAGCCAAGAGTTCAGATCTGTTAGGGTTGATCAGTATGATAGAACCAACCCAAAAAGAAAGAACTTATATTAAGAATGTGAATGGACCAGATTGTCCTTACAAAAGAAATAAAAGAAAAGAGCTATCCACTAATGTACACGCCTACTAGATTTCAACAAAGATAAAATTACATAACTACCTCCATCTTCTCTACACTCCCCCTCAAATTGATGTTGGGGAACAAGCACCAGTTTGTCAATAAGGAAATTATGTCGGGCTTTGCTGAAGAGATCTATCAGCTGTAGGCCCGAGGAAACATGTGGGAGAGAGATGTGACCCGTGAGGAGAAGGTCACGAATGAAGTGACAATCCACCTCAATATGTTTAGTACGCTCATGAAATACCAGGTTGGATGCAATCTTGATTGCACTCACGTTGTTAGCAAACAGAGGGATGGTGGATTAGTGATCAATGTCCATATCATGAAGTAGAGCCTTGAGCCAAACTATTTCATCGCATGCTGAGGACATTGCTCTATATCCTGCTTCAGTAGATGACTTGAGAACTGTTTGTTGTTTCTTGCATTTCCAAGAAATCAAAGAATCACCAAGAAATATACACCAGCCAGTAGTAAAATGATGAGTGTCAAGGCAACCTGCCCAATCAACATCTACATAAGCTCAGAGCTGAATAGAGGAAGAAGATGAGAAAAATAAGCCATGAGACAGTGTGCCCTTGACATAACGAATGATTTGGAGAACTGCAAAAAAGTGGGGCTGACGTGGGAACTAGCTCACGAGCTGGACAGCATAAGAAATGTCCAGTCTAGTAATAGTCAGGCAGATAAGACTACCTACAAGTTGTAGCACCAGGAAGGAGCTCACCCTCATCCTTACTTAGCTTATAGTTAAGCTCCAAAGGTGTATCCACTTGTTTAGAATCAATCAAGCAAGCAAGTGCAACTTCTATTGGTTGGCAAAATAACCTTGAGGACATCGCTGAATTTCAAGGCCAAGAAAATAGGTGACCGGCCCAAGATCTTTCATTTCGAAAGAGTTGCTGAGAAGGAGCTTCAAGTTGTTATTGTCGTCCACATCATCTCTGATGATAAGGATATCATCAACATATACCAAGAGAAGAGTCAACCCTTGTGCTCGATTAAGAGTAAAAAGAGAGTAATCTGAAGCACTTTGCTGAAAACCAGCCTCCAACACCACTACACGGAAGCGGTCAAACCAAGCTCATGGAGCTTGTTTAAGACCATATAATGTTTTCTTCAGTTTATAGTTTACACACCAAAAGAAGATTATCACAACATCCAGGAGGTGGTTTCATATAGACTGTTTCTTGTAAATGCCCATGGAGAAAGGCATTCTTGACATTTATCTAGGGATACAAATGGATTAGATCAGATTCGGATCAGGGTATATTCGAATCCGGTCCGACACTATTCATGTCAGATCCGATTGGATCTGATAGGATTCGATTTGAATTCGAATCCTATCGGTAAGTCAGACCTTCGGATCTGATCCGATCCAACTTGTTTTTCTTAAAAATTAATAAATTATTAAAAGAAAAATAAAATATACTAATTTAAATAAAGAAAAAACAAAAATACAAGTATTTTTAAATTATTTTCACCATATATACTTGTTTTCTATAAAAAAATAAATAACATAACAAATTTATAAAAATATAATATATATATTTATAAATAAATAAATAACATATATATGTATTACATATATTTATATTTATAATACATATCGAATTAGATCTTCTTGAATCAGATAGCGGTAGGGGGGTTCTGAATCCGACCTGTTTTTTGATTGGGTCCTACTATCCAACCCGTTCTGAAGATCCGAACAAGGTGATCCAAATTTGACCAAATAGGATCAAATATTGGGTCAAACCAGATAATGATCTGATCCAGTTGCACCCCTACATCCATCTGATGAACTATCCATTGTCTAAGAGTAGTAATGGACAATTGTCATTTTAGCCACTGGAGCAAAAGTTTCACCATAGTCAATCTCATACTCTTGCTTCTAGCCTTGAGCAACTAAATAAGCCTTATATCTGTCAAGAGTACCATCTGATTTGAGTTTCACTAAGTAAACCCATAGGCTACCAATGATGGAGGCATTTGGGGGAGGGAGACAAGATCCTAGATATCATTTTCCAATAAGGCTTGAACCTCTAAATCCATGGCATCTTTCCAATGCTTAACTGGTATAGCTTGGTTATAAGACTTAGGAATGTCCGTTGATGACAAAACAACAGAAAATGAGCTATGACTGGAAAAGAAGCCATAGCAGTCAGGTGGGTGAGAAATATGAGATGATCAACGCAAAGGAATGTATGAGGGCAAATCAACAAGATGATAAGAACTTACAGTAGTGATGGATGGGGAGGAATGACTAGTCACTGGTGCTAGAGGTGGAGGAGGCATAGACAATGAGCGAGCTGGATGCTTCTTGAAATAAACCTGAAGTGGCTGAGATGTAGGAGAAGGATCACCTACAAAGCCAAAATGATGTAGAATAGAAAATGATGGTATAGGCAATTTACTAACATGTTCAAAGAAGGAAAGGTTCTCAAGAAAAATGACATTACGAGATATGCACAGTCTACGGACTTTGGGATCATAACAGAGAAAGCCCTTGTGTTCCATACTATATCCCATGAATGCACACATAGTTGATTGAGCTGTTAGCTTTGTGCATTCATGGGGAGGAAGATGACCAAAGCAGACACAACCAAAGACGCAAAGCATGAACAGATTTGGTGGACAATGAAATAAGGATTGATAGGGAGAAGAATTTTCAAGAATAGAAGTGGGAAGAATGTTGATGAGATGAACAACAGTGTGGGTTGCCTCCACCCAGAAGGTAATGGGAACATGGGAATCTTGTAACAAGGATCTCGCCATACTAGTAATTTGACAATTCTTGCGCTTAGATACCCCATTTTGTTGAGGTGTACCTGGACAAGATTTCTAGGACTGAATGCCATGTTGTTTGAGATAGGTTTGAAACTTACCATTCTCACCATCAAAGTACTTTCCCCTTGAATCTGACCTCAAAATACTTATAGTGCTTTTAAACTAGGTCATAACAATAGCATGAAAGTTCTTAAATGTGGGAAGGACTTCTGACTTCTTTCGAAGAAAGTAAATCCATGTGTATCGAGTACAATCATCAGTAAACAACACAAAATATCTATAACCCAAACGTGAAATAACTAGAGACGACCAAACATCACTATGAATAAGGTGAAAAGATGTAGAAGCATGTTCAGTAGAAGATGGTCAAGGAAAAACATGACTTTTACTATAGCAGAAAGTTAAACAAAATTTATCAACATTCTTAAATGAAGCAACAATCATAAGCAAATAACTAGAAGAAAATAAATAGTCCAAGTTTTTAGCATGAGTGTGGCCCAAACATCTATGCCATAAGTGCCACACATTATTACAAGATGTAGAAGAAAAACTAGTAGTGGATAGCAAACAAGAGTCTAATGAAGCTCGCTTATTTTCAAATTCCAGGGCAAACAATATCATCAATTCCATGTGTATCATTGCTAGTGAGAACAATATCATCAACATACACGGCTAGAATGATTTTCTTAGATGACGAGTCTCTACTAAACACAGAGTGATCAACACTGCATTGTTTCAAGCCAAAATCTTGCACCACTCTACTAAAACGATCGAACCATGCCCGTGGTGATTGCTTCAGCCCATAGATAGCCTTCTTCAATCAACATACCTTTCTTGACTTCCCCTGAGAAACATACCCAGGGGGTTGCTCCATATATCGTGAA